GCCAAACGAAGTTGCCAGCTTCGCTTCGCTGCGCCGGCAACTCCGTTCGGCAGGGGCCGGGCCTGCTTGGCCTGCCGGCGGCGATGGTCGGGCCGCAGGCCCGACCATTTCTGTCACGCGATTCGCTGTAGAACATAATCAAATGGTGTAACGGGCCTTCGGCCCGCAAGGCCCGTCGTCCTTAAAATTTGCTCCGTAGACATGAGAAAGGGATGTAACGGTGAAACACCGCGACTACAACCCACCCTTCTGCTTAGAAAACGTTTAAAGGGGTGGGGGGAGGGAGTTTCTTACCTCTTTTGCGATTTTGGGCCTTCTTTTACATTTAATTGTTCACTACAGCAATTTGTAACTTATTCTCGTCAAACAAGACCCTGAACGGTTAGAGATAGAGCCAAACGGACGAAATTTTCGCCCATAGGGCTCTTCTTTGACAAGTTACCCCTTACGAGACCATTCAATATTTTCGGAAATTAGTAAATTTATTTTTGGGCCACTTTTGTGAGAGAAACTCCCTCTAGCGCCCAAACGGTAAAAGATAGATCAAAACGGACGAAATTTTTGTCCAGAGGCTCTACTATTGCAAGTTACCCCTTAGGAGACCATCTAATATTTTTTAAAATTAATATGTTTATTTTTGGGCCACTTTTGTGAGAGAAACTCCCTCTAGCGCCTAAACGGTGAGAGATAGTCCAAAACGGACAAAATTTTCGTCCGTAGGACTCTACTTTGACGAGTTACCCCTTAGAAGCTCATTAAAAAATATATTTTTTTCTGACTTTTTTGACCTACCCCCTTTTCTTTGATAACCCCTTTCAGCCCCTTAGGGTTGGTTGCCAGGATTTGCCGTAGGCGTTTCGTTTTCTAGGAGGGAACCTTGAGATACCCTGAAAATTTGAAGTCTCTAGCACATCTCCTTCTAGTGGAACAGACAGACAGACAGACAGACAGACAGACAGAAAAAGTTTTTTCCGACCAGACGGAGTAATAGGCTTCGCTAATCGCTCAGCCAACAATAATACCCACAATATATGGTACTAGGTACACGACTCAGCCGCATCGGCCACCCCGCGTATTTAGGTTGGGAAAATTGGAATCGGAAAATTGGTAAATGGGAAAAAATAATTACGAATGCGAAATTTAGGACGAATAAGTTTAGGACATTTTGTGGTTAAGAAAAGTGGAGTAGGAAAAATAGGTGGGAACGCGTTGATGGTAATCACCGTCAAGACGTAATCCTACAGAACAAGCAGGCCCGCCCTTCCGCCAAACGAAGTT